ATATATATATATATATATATATATATATATATATATATATATATATATATATATATATTCAATATGAAATTTACATTGGGAAAATACATTATGAAATATAAGTCATGAAATCATATAAATCATTTGTTGCATTGAAAAGTATTGGTTTTACTGAATTTTATATAATTTGATGCAAATAATTAATAAATAATAATAATAATAATAATGAAATGAAAAAAAATGATTAATATTCCCACAAAACATTTTCCACCATTAATTAATAAAATATTTGGTGAAAATTTGCTTAATTTTCACAAATACAATGTCACAATGTAAATTATAATCTTAATTTTTTTATATAATTTCTTGTGTTTTCATTTCGGGCTGCAATTTGACCTGGATTTGCAATTGACCTTTGTATCAGGGTGCATCAGGTGGCTTTACCCTGTCACAAACATTAAGCAGAACCACTTCAGCACTGGACCTGTGTGATGAGTGCTTGAAGACAGATGGTCCTCTGAAATCTATGGGAGTATAGTTGAGTGTCTCATTGGGCAGAGATCCACATGCACCCCTGGGGTGTGTGTGAGACTTACAGACATTGCATGGACATTGCATGCCAATGTGATAGAGTCCCAACTCCACGTGGGAGAGAAAAAGTAAGCAGACAAATCACAGATCTAAGCTATGACTCTCTAAACCTGGCTTTTTCTTTAGTATCAGGAAGCATACCAAGTATGTTTATTTGCCATACCGAGTATTTGAAGTTTTGTATTTTGAATGATGAATGTTTTTTTAAGACACACAAAAAAGCTTATCTTAGTGAAGCTTGACAGCCTATTTCAGCTGTCAAGGAAATATCTCACTGGTCAGAAAGGACCACTTTTTTTGGATTAAACACGGTTGAAATGAAAGTTGTTCATATTCATCGACATGTCTGCTGAAGTTTAGAGTAAAAGAGTTTTAAAATAGCCTTTTCTTATCTTTTCAGATGAGTTCCATTCTGTTGAGCTGGGTAATTTCAAATGCCATTCATTGTAAACCTGTCTTACAGCATTCAGTGTCATTGATGTCGACTATCTTCAGTGACTTCATTTAACTTCAAGTCAATCCTGAAAATAAAGCTAAACTCTATGGAACTCGAACAACAAAGCGGCATTGATTATTCAAACTTTAAAATGATTTATTTTCTGTTCAGTTCACTTTATTAGTGTTTCCTTCTAAGCCAGGGATCACTGTTATGAATGTTTATAATTAAGGTTAGAGAATTTTAGCTTGGGCCAGTAAGCAAACAACCAAGAGCACCCTGGCAACCACCAACAACACCCTAGCAACATGGTGACGAGTTTTGCAAGAGCAATAATTGTAAAAAATGTTAGCTTCTCAGCATTAGAATATGACTTGGCCAACTGTGGTTTTTACAAAGAGACCATCCATGCTGAATGGATTGTTTCTTTGTATCTTTTTCTGCTGAATGATTGTTATTTTACAGAAATATTAAATGTTAAATGATAAGTATCATTAATCTCAGAGGTAGGTTTGTTTCTGTAGAATAACCTCCCCTTGAAGGCATGCTTTTTACTAACAAAAGAACCTCTAGCTTATGTAATTCTGAATTACATGATGGGCTGGAGGAAGTGATTAGTTTATTAAAATGTAATTGAATTGAGTTCAGGCTTTGTGCATGTGCTGGCAGATGACATCAAAATGCATCAGGTGGGTGTTAAAATGTGTGATTGCAAGCGTGTTTGAAATGTCTCTTAGCCACTGCTTTTTCTTTACAGAGGAACTAAAGGCAAGGACATCAACACTATCAAGTCCCTGAGGGTCCTTCGAGTCCTGAGGCCTTTGAAGACCATTAAACGTTTGCCTAAACTCAAGGTAATGTCCTACTGTCTGGTTCTCTTAGCATGCCTAGCTCTTATCTTACTCCTCTGAGAGCATGCAATTGGAATTAGAGGGTTTTAGTTGTAAAATTACATGATCTGATACAACAAAGTGAAAGATTATCATTCGTTAGAACCCATAGCAAATCTATCAGTTCAGATCTATCAGTTCTTCATTCAGTCAGTTGAAATCTTGGCAGTCTACTCAAATAATTAGTAAGTAAAGAGATTCATCGCAATGGAAACAGAAAGTGAAGTCAAAATGAATTGTGGGATGCAGTATTCCGTGCATTTTGGCCTGGTTGTGTATGTAAATGTAGTAATCTGTGTAATCCATGAATACGGAAAATTAGCATACTGCTCACAGTATACAATACAGCCTTAGCATGCCTAGTATGCTATTCTAAACATAACCTATGATATACCGTTGCACAGATAGTACTGTTTCATTTAAATATGTAAAAGATAAATTACATTTTAAATTGGTTCATCTAAATCAGACTAAAAAGAGTTTTCTGTTTTTGTGTCAGTGTTTCCTTAGGTACATTATGTGTTGTTGGTGTGGACGTTTTACAAGCAGGGATGATGCCCCTTGTATAGACCTCCACATTAACAGCCTTGCTGCGTCTTTCTGTTTAATCAAATCACACACTTGGGCACACAAATCGTTTTAGAAACACTCACTGTAATCTCATTACATGGCTAAATTATACATTTAAACGTACGTTTGACACCATCATTTATTCATTTGGCTAAATATTCATCACCAGTGACATTAGAGAAAATAATAGACTAATAAATAAAACTGCAGTTTAGCTTAGTTACAATACTAACACACTGATAAAGCCTCACAGGGCCACAGAGACATTTATTCTGCCTACAGAGATCTTATTAGCATTAATGCCGGAAAAAATACATACTACTCAGGGCTAATAATGATACCCTAAGCACATTAAATTATCAGAAATGACAGAAAAATTAGAAGATTTACATATCCCCCCCACTCCCGTTTCATCCTCAGCCTAAGTGCAGTCATGTAGAGCGAGAGGAACAGTAATCAATTAAGACTCTGCCCCAGCCTACAATGCTTTCACAAGGGCCTTGTGACATTAACACACGACGACACATTCTACACAGAGGGATTTAATGAAGGTGTGCATTATGGTCTGCTTGTGTTAGGGAGACCCTCCACTCCAGAAGATGTTTGCAGGAGATCTGATTTGTGCTGTTTGTGTGTCCCCAGTCCGTGTTTGATTGCGTGGTGAACTCTCTGAAGAATGTGCTCAACATCCTCATCGTTTACGTCCTCTTCATGTTCATCTTTGCGGTTATTGCTGTGCAGCTTTTCAAGGGGAAGTTTTTTCACTGCACCGATGAGTCCAAAGCCCTGGAGAAGGACTGCAGGTACAGCTGTGCTCTGGCTGGACTGTTGGGATATATTCTACATGATGGAGGAATGGAGGGAGGGATGGAGGGAGGGAAGAGAAGAGAAAGAATGAACGGAGAGAAAAAGAAAGGAAATGACTAGGGTTGGGTATCGTTTGGGTTTTTTTTCGATACCGGTGCCAAATCGATACTTTTATAATGGTTCCATTGCCTAAACGGTGCCTGAACCGATACTTATTAAAAAAGAATAAAATAAAAATGACAAATTCTCCCAAAAATGATGAATTGGTCATTAGCACTATAAACACACAATGTCTGTTTCATTCATACTGGACGCCAGAGGGCGCCCTCGCACAGAAAATCCACATATCCAGTCACAGAATTAAGCGGATCTCATGACCCTCCAGGAAATCCCTTATATGGACAAAGGCATTGCTATTATAGCTGTAACTGAGTAAACAGAACATATAAACGTTTTGAATGATAAAACAAAGACAATAAACACTCGACTGCGACAATATAGTTTATCTGTGTTATTCAAGCCATCTCTGGTATTTTCATAATAATTAAGCATATTTATAATTCATTGCTAATCGATGTATTCTTTTAAAAGTAGCATATGCAGCATTTTTTTTTTCACAGTTTCGGAGAACCAGAGGACAAATATTTCAATCGATCGCTCAGGCATGTCACCGAAATCTGCGTTCTGATTTGGTTCTAGTACATACCGGTTACATAGGTACCGGTGCCATATTGGTACCGGGTTTCGGTACCCAACCCTAGAAATGACGAGTGACTGAATAGAAGTATAGTAGGAAGGCAAAGAGAACAAAAAGACTAAACATGGAAAGGAAAGGAAGAGCGAAGGAAGGCAGGCAGGTAGGAAAGATGAAAGGTAAAAATGAAAGAAAGAGTAATTTACTGGATGGAAGGAAGGAAAGATGAAAGGAAGGAAATGGAAAAGAAGAGCAAAGAAAGAAGGAAAGGGAGGAGAAAAGGGACAGAAGGAAGTAAAGAAACTGTTCTTAGAAGGTAAAAAAAGAGGAAGTGGGAAGGAAGAAAGGAGGAATCAATGCAGGAAGTAAATAATAATAAGTTAGATTTGATGTGTTTGTACTCAGGGGTCAGTTCCTGGAGTACGGCAGTGATGGAGGGGCCATGACACAGCCACGCGAGTGGAAAAAGTATGATTTCCATTATGACAACGTCCTGTGGGCCTTTCTGACCCTGTTCACTGTCTCTACAGGAGAGGGCTGGCCAACGTGAGTCCACACACACACACACACACACACACACACACACACTGTGATCTTACAGAGACATGTTAAAAACATGTTAGTTTTCTTACTCTGATCTCTTTCTCCTTTTGCTCTGTCTGTTCTGATTAAGTTTCTCTTCTTGCTTAATTCTCTCTGGTGTAATCTGTGTTCATCTCAACTCTGCTTACTTTTAACGCCATATTTTACTTGCTTTTAACTCCAGATTTTCATAGAAAAACACATACTTGGTTAAGAGAAAAAAAGAAAAAAAAACTCCTGTACTGCAACAAGAAAATCCAGAAAGTTTTTCAGATTTAAATTAAATCCCTCTTTAACACTCAATAACTCTGTATGGTACTGTGTGATATCTACGCATTCCAACTTGAGTTTTTCATGGACAAGGATGTAATCTTAACCATTGCATATAAATACTTTTTCCCACTCTGCAGTTTTAAGATGATGCTTTTGGTCTGTTCTACTTTATGAAAATGCTTTAAATTTGTACTTGACGTTTTTTTAATGATTTGTGTCTTTTTTTTCTTTTCTTTTTTTTTCTTTTTCTTCTTTTTATAGAGAGTGTCAGTTAGAAAAGAAACAGAAAACAAAAGGGATACAATTCCACAGTTAAAGAGAAAACTGCCAGAAACTAAACATGTATTACATTTATGCTGTTTTAATTTTTATTACTAGTTCAGGTCTGTGGTAATCTACCATTTGTTGCATTTTTATTACAATTATTACATGATTAGTTAAAGGAAAAAATCACTGTCACATCAAACTGGACAATTTTTATTTTTTATACAATGTTAAAGTGTTTATTATAAAAGATTTACCCTTATTTGATCTTTTCTCATTATTTTTTAAAAACCACTGCCTGAAAGACAAAACCAAGTTCTGTCCTGTTTTGTTTTCTCATCCGAGAAGCCGTTTCCCTCAGATATACATCACAGAAGAGGAGAAAAAAAAGTATCTTCATTTCTAAATAAATTACTACTTTCTTTCTTTTTTACTTTAAAACAAGAATATAATATAATTTCAAATGTTTTTATTATTTATTTATTTTTTATATATAATGTATTAACCATTTTTAGTATATGCTTTCGAGGAAACCCTTTGTAGTTTTGGATGTAAAATCACACCTACTTGTGCTTAAAATGGCTTTTAAAGGTCTGTTCACTGTGGTGGACACAGTGCATCAAAGGGTTAAAATTAGAAAAACGTATCTTGATGAACTTGCCAATGTTTGATCATCTTACTGACATTCTCCTTGTTGTTTTCTAGAGTCCTGAAACACTCTGTTGATGCCACATTTGAAGACCAGGGTCCCAGTCCGGGTTACCGCATGGAAACCTCCATCTTCTACGTGGTCTACTTCATCGTCTTCCCCTTCTTCTTTGTCAACATCTTTGTGGCTTTGATCATCATCACATTCCAGGAGCAGGGAGATAAGGCCATGTCAGATTGCAGCTTGGAAAAGAACGAGGTAGGACGGGACAGTTGGAGGCTTGCATAGTCAGTTAAAATCAACCATAAGCAGGCAAGTAGATGGGGTGACGGCAAACTGTAGGCACCATTCACTGTTGCTTAATATGGCGTTTCAGTGTATGCTAATTCAAGGTCAAAGTCTTGTTTCATACATGCATGGACAGTTGTGAGATGCCTGGAAGAGAAGCACTCTGAAGAGAATTCCTCTTTCCTGTGTGAGGCCAACGCACCTGTCGGTCTGCATCTCCACTTTCTTGACTCTAAACTCTTTTGACAAACACGTGCTCACACACACAAGCACAGAGTTAAACCCCGGGAGGAACTACCAGACCAGTCAGGCAGAACTCCTTCAACTCTATGGCTTTGTTCTAAAACCTTTTAAACTGCATTGTTATCTAAACCATTATTGAACCTCCTAAATGATTGATTTGAAGTGCTCTACATAGGCATAGTTTCTACCCTGTTGAAAAAAGCGGGCGTTAAACTGGGCGGCCAGCTGGTCTTCTTGCCTGATTAACTGAAAAGTGCCCAAAACTTCTCTAAAACCAGCCAACAGACCAGTCTATCCAGGCTGGGAGACCAGCTAAGACCAGCAAACCACCTTATGCTGGTTTAAGATGGTTTTTAGCAGGCAGTGCTAGTAGTTGTAATTCCTGTATGCAATATATTAACAGTTTGTGAAAATTAAAATATTAAATTAGAAAACATTAAAAATATTTAAGTACCGTTTTATCATATGTCCTCATATTTATTTTGTTTAATTTGTGTTTTTGTGAAGTCATAATTTTGTTATAATATAATACTCTTTTGCCATTTGCAGTGGTTACTATTTACTATTTTTAATATTGTGATTTCAGGGCCCAGTTAGGGTCATTTTGGCCATTAATTATTATAATAGAAGTTGAACCCCATAACAATTAAATTAAACAAGTGAGATTTCAATCTCAATTATATTTTGACCACTGGACTAGGAAATGTCCTTAGTTTACATTTCAGATATCTGGTCACCTTAATATATAAGTTTATCTTGGTTCCATTTTGATTTATTTTTTCCACTGAGCTCATTGCAGTGAATTCTGGGAATGCTTATTAGAAGAAGCACAGAGTTAAACCCCGGGAGGAACTACCAGACCAGTCAGGCAGAACTCCTTCAACTCTATGGCTTTGTTCTAAAACCTTTTAAACTGCATTGTTATCTAAACCATTATTGAACCTCCTAAATGATTGATTTGAAGTGCTCTACATAGGCATAGTTTCTACCCTGTTGAAAAAAGCGGGCGTTAAACTGGGCGGCCAGCTGGTCTTCTTGCCTGATTAACTGAAAAGTGCCCAAAACTTCTCTAAAACCAGCCAACAGACCAGTCTATCCAGGCTGGGAGACCAGCTAAGACCAGCAAACCACCTTATGCTGGTTTAAGATGGTTTTTAGCAGGCAGTGCTAGTAGTTGTAATTCCTGTATGCAATATATTAACAGTTTGTGAAAATTAAAATATTAAATTAGAAAACATTAAAAATATTTAAGTACCGTTTTATCATATGTCCTCATATTTATTTTGTTTAATTTGTGTTTTTGTTAAGTCATAATTATGTTATAATATAATACTCTTTTGCTATTTGCAGTGGTTACTGTTTACTATTTTTAATATTGTGATTTCAGGGCCCAGTTAGGGTCATTTTGGCCATTAATTATTATAATAGAAGTTGAACCCCATAACAATTAAATTAAACAAGTGAGATTTCAATTATATTTTGACCACTGGACTAGGAAATGTCCTTAGTTTACATTTCAGATATCTGGTCACCTTAATATATAAGTTTATCTTGGTTCCATTTTGATTTTTTTTTCCCACTGAGCTCATTGCAGTGAATTCTGGGAATGCTTATTAGAAGTTGGACAAATTTTTTTTTTCACTTTTTAAAAAAAATTTAAATTCTTAATATTTTATTTAATGTAATTTTAATTTTATTATATTATGTAATTATTCTGAAATGTCAAACTGTGTTTGGTCAGAATAAATTGCAAGGTGGACCAGACTTTTAGTAAACACTAGTTAGTAAACACTCAAAACTAGTTTGATCCAGTGTTGAGAGGGGCAGAGAAAAATGACACTATGAATGACTGATTTGAGTGAAAAGTGGAGCCTTGTTGGTTGATTGACCAGCCTCCAGGGCCGTCGGCATTGCAAGAACTGTGAAATCAGTGAGAAGCTAATGATGGCCCGGTGGGTGAGAAGCATGTGGTTTGGTGTACAGTATTAGCAGGGTTGTGTGTGCTGCATCATAAATCTCTTTTTGGTGCTTGCTGGCTGGTCTGACCTGCAGCAGAAGGTCTCATCTCAAGCTCCATTTCCATTTATGAGGGTCATTTATTAAGAAGCTTTTCTGGTGCGTGACGCTTGCGTTTACCTCCACCTGTTCGGAGCTCAGGGTTGATGAATGGGTCTTTCTCATGTTGTTCCATCCGGGATCCATGTCTGGCAGCAGTCGACTAATCTTTGCTCCATTCAGGAGAGACATGAACCCAAGGCTAAGACACCTGGCAGACCGTCCTGCCATTAAAGATCTATTACACCACTCACCAATGTCTGCATTTCAGGCTGCCTGTGTTTGTGTGTATGATTCTCTATATTTGTAAGAGCCACATTGTCCTCGCTAGTGTAGTAAAAGATTTTAAAACGTACTATCTATGGTTTATACTTAAGCTAAATCGAAATCTAAAAATGCCAAAAGAGGTCTCTAAGGAATAAGGGTGGAGTTAAAGGGGGTAATTATAATTGATTCATTCAGAAAATGCAGCTCTGCTGAAAAGCTATTTTCAAAAATCTAGTGAGCTGCCTTACCATCTACAGAACCTGCTTTTAATGCAACATCAAAACTGAAATTAAACCTCATAACTGGCAAACCATTTTAATAGTTTGACAGAACCACATTTTTAAGCTTTTAAAATAATAAATAATAGTACTCAATTAAAAAAAATCTAACTACTGAAGCAATTCATTTTAATATTCAATAGAATATAAGATTGTTAGCCATTTGTTATAATTATTTACAATTATAATAGAAAAATTGTTTATATATTATGTACGTATAGGTGTGTTTATGTGTGTGTATATATATATATATATATATATATAATTTGAGAACCAAAATTCAAAGGTATTTAAATAAAATCATTTTAAATCTCAACACACATATGATGTTAGAAATAATATAACTGACTTACTGCAGTGGATGTTTCAGATAAGAACCTCTAAAAGCTTAACTTTGTCTCTTTGTGAGATTTCATTTATTCGTTTTTGTTTTTGTTTTGTTTTTGTCACATGTGTGTTGCAGATTTAGTCTGCTTTTAGTTTGTCTGGTTAAAATCATGGGGACAGTTTGACAGAGTTCCATGGAAAACCTAAGAAATTTTAAATTGTCAAGTCATAGATTTGTTTTCTTAAAGTCTTTAAAAAAATCAATGAAATTTCTGTAGTTTTTCTATAGATATATATAATACTCTACATAGCACTGCAGGCACATGTAAATATAATACATCATGATAGTAAATTTCCTACCGTAAATATATCAAAACTTCAGTTTTGATTAGTAATATGCATTGCTAAGGACTTTATTTGGACAACTTTAAAGGCAATTTTCTCAATATTTTGAATTTTTTTACAACCTCAGATTCCAGATTTTCAGTTAGTTGTATCTCGGCCAAATATTGCCCTATACTAACAAAACATACATCAATGGAAAGCTTATTTATTCGGCTTTCGGGTGGTGTGTGTGTGTGAGTGTCTTTTATTTTTCTATGAAAAACCACGATTGTCCCGTATTTTCCTTTTGTGAAGTTGGCACCCCTATATGTATATGGGCCATACAGTATACTGTGAAATTTTGTTTTTAACTTGGGTCTTTGTTTCTCAAGTCAGCTGTTATGAATAATCTTTCATTGGTTTGTGTCTATCAAGTACTCATATAAAAAGAAAAAACGAAATAAAATAAAGTATCTTTAATTTGTGAAGTATTGTAGAATTTATATAGATATATGAATTTTTATTAATCTATATATATATATATATATATATATATATATAGTTAATTAATATACTAATAAAGTTCAGTTTTAGTAGTTTTATGTTTGTTTTTGTCATTTGTATTAGTTTTATTATGTCAATATAGTTTTATTTTATTTAGATTTTTTTGTTATTTTAGTACTTCAGCTTGAATGAATAAGAAATTTAGCTTTGGTACATTAACTAAGAATATGTTTATTAATATTTTAATGTTAATGTAATATTTGTTTTATTTCAAGTAATGTTTTTTTTTTCTTTCTGGTTTTAGTTGTAGTCACCAGTAATAACCCTGCTGTGATATAATATCTTACACTGTGGTCATACTGCTCATCCCTAACAGAATTGTTTATTTCTATTTAAAAGCATGTTCCTGCAAGACTGTTCATGCATCATTACCAGACTATCAATAACATTGTCCTGCATGAGACTAACTAGTTTTAATACCTTATCAATAAACTTAACCGATCTAACAGATGCCGTTGCTGACACTGACTTACTGAGGATGTGTCCTCGTCTCGGGTTTAAATACAGTTCCAGTGATGCGTCTCTGATCTCTCTTTCTGCTTGTATCCAGGATAAGAGGATTAATCTGAGTTTCCTGAGACTCTTCCGGGCCGCTCGTCTCATTAAACTCCTCCGTCAGGGCTACACCATTCGCATCCTGCTCTGGACCTTCGTTCAGTCCTTTAAGGTCAGAACTTGACCTTTGACTTTACTTGGACAGCTTAGACAACATTGACTATCAACAGTAACTGTCAACCGTTCAAGACAATTGTTTGTCTGTAAAATAACTGTATTTTGTCCTCAGGCTCTACCGTATGTGTGTCTCCTCATTGCAATGCTCTTCTTCATATACGCCATCATCGGGATGCAGGTGAGATCCAGAGAGCTTTAAAAGCCTCTGTTGCTCTCTCATAAATGTTACCCTTCATGCAACCTTTCCATCTGAGATCTCATCACTTTCCAGCTGCTACAATCATCTCACTTAACGTTTACAGCTTTAACGTGATTACTGATCTTGGACTCATTGAGAATGACCTTAATCTGTGTAAAAAGCACAGGCTGTTTTACATGGGCAGGTGGTGTTTTTCCATTTGAAAGCTTCATAGTCTTTATGAAAAGAAGCCATTGTTCCAGTCTTATGGACGGATCTCATCTTTAAGTTTGATTGCTCACTTAAGGATGCACAGGCAATCTCTCAGATTGTGTTGGAAATGATGGCGTCTGCCATCTAGTAGATTAGGACTGCATTGTAAATCAATGCTAATTGTATCCTGTAAGACTGGAGAAACATCATCAGTAAGCCATGTAATCAACTGTACGCTTGAAACTCCTACTGCCAACTATACGTTTGCTTCATCATTCAGTGTAAAACATCCTTTTGAACCAGTTTTTGCCATCTTTCTAGTATTTATATAGTAGGATTTGGATTATAATCGTATTAGAGTCATGGTTCAAGTTAAGCTTTATTTATATGACATGCTGTTGATTAGCACTGGCAATTTCACATCCTTCATTCTGTAGGAAATGCATTTACATTATTATAAAAACGTGGGATGAGAGTGTTTTAAATCATAATTGTGAAGCCTATATTTTTGCTAATTTAAATGTAATCTTTTTGTTAGAGCACTTACACTACTGTTTTAAAATTTGAAGTCAATAAGACTTTTTTTTATTTATGTTATGTTTTTATTTTTTAATTAATACTTTTTTTTCTTTTTTTAATGAACACTTTTATTCAGCTAGGGCATAATAAACTGATCTGAAGTGACTGTAAAGACAGTTATAAATGTTACAGAAGATTTCTATTTCAAATAAATGCTATTCTTTTGGACTTTCTCCGTATGTGTGTCTCCTCATTGCAATGCTCTTCTTCATATACGCCATCATCGGGATGCAGGTGAGATCCAGAGAGCTTTAAAAGCCTCTGTTGCTCTCTCATAAATGTTACCCTTCATGCAACCTTTCCATCTGAGATCTCATCACTTTCCAGCTGCTACAATCATCTCACTTAACGTTTACAGCTTTAACGTGATTACTGATCTTGGACTCATTGAGAATGACCTTAATCTGTGTAAAAAGCACAGGCTGTTTTACATGGGCAGGTGGTGTTTTTCCATTTGAAAGCTTCATAGGCTTTATGAAAAATAAGCCATTGTTCAAGTCTTTCGGTTGGATCTCTTCTTTAAGTTTGATTGCTCGTTTAAGGATGCAAAGGCAATCTCCCAGATTGTGTTGGAAATGATGGCGTCTGCCATCTAGTAGATTAGGACTGCATTGTAAATCAATGCTAATTGTATCCTGTAAGACTGGAGAAACATCATCAGTAAGCCATGTAATCAACTGTACGCTTGAAACTCCTACTGCCAACTATACGTTTGCTTCATCATTCAGTGTAAAACATCCTTTTGAACCAGTTTTTGCCATCTTTCTAGTATTTATATAGTAGGATTTGGATTATAATCGTATTAGAGTCATGGTTCAAGTTAAGCTTTATTTATATGACATGCTGTTGATTAGCACTGGCAATTTCATATCCTTCATTCTGTAGGAAATGCATTTACACGTGGGATGAGAGTGTTTTAAATCATAATTGTGAAGCCTATATTTTTGCTAATTTAAATGTAATCTTTTTGTTAGAGCACTTACACTACTGTTTTAAAATTTGAAGTCAATAAGACTTTTTTTTATTTATTTTATGTTTTTATTTTTTAATTAATACTTTTTTTTCTTTTTTTAATGAACACTTTTATTCAGCTAGGGCATAATAAACTGATCTGAAGTGACTGTAAAGACAGTTATAAATGTTACAGAAGATTTCTATTTCAAATAAATGCTATTCTTTTGGACTTTCTATTTATAGAATAATTTTGAAAAATATATCACAGTTTCCACAAAAATATTAAGCAGTACAACGTTCAACATTGATAATAATAAGAAATGTTTCTTCAGCATCAAATCAGCATATTAGAATGATTTCTGAAGGATCATGTGACACTGAAGACTGGAGTGATAATGCAGAAAATGTAGCTTTGCCATCACAGGAATAAATTAAATGTTAAATATATCGAAATAGAAAACGGTTATTTTAGATTTAATCATATTTCACAGGATTACTGTTTTGACCCCAAACTTTTGAACAGAAGTGTACATTATTACATAAATGTGTTATTTGAGTTGTAAAGTCATCTAAATGGCAATTTTTCTACCAGGTTAGTTAACTTCTGGTTATGTATTACCGTCGTATTTCCTGTGGGTGTAAATATTCCCTCTCGGGGATCCTTGCATAGATTGTGCAAGTTACAAAGTTTACTGCCTTTACATGATCATGAAAAGACAATTGGGCATAACTTGGCACAGAATGTTTTTACAAACTTACATACAGGTCAGTTATTTCAGGAATAATAGAAAGTGCACTCTAAGCATTGGGTTTAATATGTATTATTAACAGCAGAAATGTTCTAGATATATTACTTTTATTACTATACAATTTTGTAGATGCCATCCTAAAATATTGTCCATCCATGGCCACTGGATGTGTTTTTGTAATGTATGTGGCTGACAGATTATTGTGATTTGTTTTACTGTCTGTCAGTGCATTGCAACTCTGTAGATTTGAGTGAGTGAGTCAGTATGTTTGTTTGCGTGTCTGCTGTCTGACATAAAATTAGGAAATTCATAAGCATGAGTCACAGTTTATGGAAAATGTGTATGTAGCCTTGTTAATACTGCAGATGCTTACTGTAACATACCCTCCAGGCAGTCTGAATTATTGACACAGTCCCTTCGGGTATTTTCATGCAGCCTCAGTAGGAAAGTGCACACTTTGCACTGTCATTTTCAGCCTATCTCCACCAAAAATGCTTGCATTGTCTGTAATGTATCCAAAATTAGAATGCTGATGTGATTTTCTCTCTGTGTCAGGTGTTTGGTAACATCATGTTGTCTGAGGAGTCAGCTATCAACATTCACAATAACTTCCAAACCTTTTTTCAGGCCCTCATGTTGTTGTTCAGGTAAAGCCATTGTTTGATCTCTGTTCAGCCGTCTTAAATTATTTCACAAAAAACTTAAAAAAAATTAGTGCAAGTGATTTCAAAGTTTCTGACTTTTGCTATTTGTATGTTACAGGAGTGCTACAGGGGAGGCTTGGCATGAAATTATGCTGTCTTGTCTGAGCGACAGGCCATGTGACCGTGACTCTGGCTATACTGGAAAAGAGTGCGGCAGTGATTTCGCTTACTTCTACTTTGTCTCTTTCATCTTCCTTTGTTCCTTCCTGGTTAGTGGAACAAATCTCAAATTCAAACAGACACACTCAAAAATGAATCATTTACTCACCCAACTCATGTTGTTTCAGACCTTTATGACTTTCTTCTGTGGAACACAAGAACTATTTGTAGCAGAATGTCCAAGCTGCTCTTTTGAGTACAGTGAAAGTGAATGGTGGTTTAACACAGTTGTCAAGTGTGATTTTCAGCAAATAATGACAATTTGCTCTGTTCCTTACACAAAGCTAGTTTATGGCTTTATGAAATTAAATGCTCAAGTTAAGGTTTTTGGGTGCTTTTTTGTCATTTTTGGAACTGGTCAATTGATTAAATGTGACAGTAAAGATTTTACATTGTTACAAAATGTTCTATTTAAAATAAATGCTGTTCTTTTGAACATTCTATTCATCAAAGAACCCTAAATCAGTTTCCATAAAAACTGTGATGATTTAAGCAACAAGTCGGCATGTTAGAAAGATTTCTGAATGGCTGCTGAAAATTTAAATAGAAAACAGCTTTTTAATTTGTAATAATATTTCACATGACTCTTTTGCTGTATTTTTGATCAAAATAAAGAGGCCAGTAGTGTATATGCAAAAAATGTAACGGTGCACAAAACATAAAATCACACCGAGTGTAGCAGCTTTAATGAGTGCAAACATCCTTTGAGTCTAGCCAACAAGACACCCCAAAAAAAAACTGTGATCATATTTTACATAATTCTGATTGAGATTTCTTCTACAATCAGATGCTGAATCTGTTCGTCGCCGTCATCATGGATAACTTTGAGTACCTGACACGTGACGCTTCTATTCTCGGGCCTCATCACCTCGACGAGTTCATCCGTGTCTGGGCTGAGTACGACCCTGCTGCCTGGTGCGTATCACTCCTCCACGGTGTCGCTGCCAGTTAGTGCCACTTTTAAAAAAAATGTGACAGCTCGAGACTAAGTGGTTGAAAGACGCCAGCTTAAGAGGGTACGCCACCGTCACTATGTCTGATTTACTCAAAGTCACAAGAATCCCATTTTACTGTGTGACCATGGTTAACATCAAATCCTCAAACTTTGTCAATGCTGAGGAATGCAAATCTTATTCTTTGCATGCCATCCACTTTTAGTCTATCTTGAGCAGAACGGATTTGAAGCCTGTACTCTGTGTGTGTGTGTGTGTGTGTGTGTGTGTGTGTGTAATCCATTTTAACTTGAAAACGCACAGCTGAGCGTAGTTATCTCAATAAGCATGAAGTCTTTAGATACTTATATTGACGGAATGTGGAAAAAATGTATTAAACTCTGTCTTTTTAACCCATATCTTATTTTTTTGCAGTGGAAGGATACGCTATATGGATATGTACAATTTGTTGCGCATAATCTCACCCCCCCTTGGCTTAGGAAAGAAGTGCCCTAATAGGGTGGCATACAAGGTTTGAAAACCTACACACCTTCCCTCGAGGGGGCGGTGCTGTAAAAAATGAATGCCCATAAAATGCCTGAAAGTGCTAATGTCTGATTGGATTATACTCCCCCTCTTTCCTTACTAATTTTAATATGGGTAACCAGGAAACAAAGCCAAATGCTAAATCCCACATCCCAAACGAATCCCATATGTTCATTCATTGTAAATATTGATGTACTAGAGCAGCTTTTATTTGCTCTGTTAATACCGTGCATAAAATTAGGCCAGATATTAGCTTTGTTCCTGAGTATCTGATTGGTTAGCCGGGGTGCGTCCTAGCATGCAAGGACAGAAGCTCCAAACTACAGACCCCCTCCAGCCCAATCCCATCATGCCATGTTCTTCATCCCTGGATCACCTGCAGCCTGTATCTTTAAAAGCAGGCGTGATCCATCCGTCCTTCTGAGACAGGATGGTATCGGATACCCTTGACCTTCCTTCAGAATCCTTGATAACTATGCTTTTTTTCTTTTCCTTTCTTTCTTTCTTTCTTTCATTCACATCACATTTTCTTCATGTTCTCCACTACTCCTTCCCTCTCCTTTTCTTGCCTGTGTGACCTTTGAACTCTCGGTGTCACCCCTGTGAAGTGGACGCATATCCTACCTCGATATGTATGAGATGCTTCGCCACATGTCCCCTCCGCTAGGTTTGGGAAAGAAATGTCCTCCACGAATCGCCTATAAGGTAGATCCCATCCCCCTGACTGTGCCTAAGCTCTTCCTCTGTCCTCTCATTGGCTGATGTTGCTATCAGTCAGTGCTCTAATTGTGGAAGTGTTTTTTATTTTTATTTTTTTGCGTGCTTTGTGTTGTGCTCTTTTCTATGTGCTTTTTGATCTCACTGATGGTAGTAAAACTTTAGATTTAAACAGGCAAAGTCTATGGTCACTAAGGTTGCATTTATTTGATCAAAAATACATTAAAAACAACAATATTGTGAAATTATTACAATTTAAAATAACTGTTTTCTTTTTAAATATATTTTAAAATGTAATTTATTCCTCTGATGGCATAAATCATCTTTGATCACCTCATGATCATTCAGAAAACATTTAATATACATATTTTAATAAAATTAAATATATGTATGTGTTTAATTAGGTATATAGGCACATTTATAATTCCATTCAACAAAACTGATTAACTTTTTACCTCAGTGCATTCTGGTATTGACGTTTCTGCAAAAGATATATGCAATGGCTTAGATTTTGTCTAAAAATCAGTTTCTTAGAAGGCAGAATAACTGGTAGAGAGTGTTTGTGTCTTAAGCACATCCTTAAAATATTACATTGGCAGCTCAATATATTTTGAAACAACAAAAGTAGACCGAATAAATACACAATTTCCTCAGGCATCTGCAGCAGTACTAAAATTGGTTGTCTTGCAATGTATAAAAGAAACTAAGGAAGTAAAGAATTGAATGGGAAAAAAGTGACTCTAAATATCACAACTGAATCTCAAGCGTCACTGGTACAGGGCTGCCTGTTTTGGTCCCAGGCCATTCTGCCACTTTGAGAGCTGCCTCAGAGTCAATAAGTTTACACACCCTGTTCCAGCTGTCTGAATGGGTAATGTTCAAGAGTTCTTGTCTGTCTGCTGAGCTACTCTCGGAGGCCACACAGTCTGTGTGCGTGAAGGCTTGAGGATGCGACGTTCTCCAGCGAGCTCTAAATAGAACAAGCCCCCACTTCCCCAGAATTCAGAGCACTGAATCAACAGGGAGGAAATAAAGAAAGCTTGCTGTAGATGTGTGCTCAGTGGAGCGTCCTTTCCATTTTTTTTATTGGTAGCTGTTGTGGAAACATGTCTATGCTGGCCTATGCACTCCAATGGCAGAGTGTTATTCCTGTGTATGATGTTACGCTCTACACCACAGAAACATATCCATTCTCTGTTTATTTTGCGTCTGTTGTCTTTTAACCTCTACATTTTTCTTTAATTACCATTGAGTGTATTAATGTGTAAAGCATCTGCTCTGGCTTTACCTTGAGTTACGTGTTTGTGTGGTGTGTGCTGTCATTGTTCTTGGTTTTGGTTGGTCAGCATGTTATCTTTTCTCGTTCTCTGGTCATCATCCTTTCTGAAGGTCATCGCTGACTTTGTAAAAATGCAAGAAATGCAGCCATCAACGCCACACATTTCAGTGCGCACTAGTGCATTTGCATTCTCTACGTGGACAGTATTCATAGCTGCCCACATGCAAACTGGCAATATTTAATATTGATACCTCAAACACAAAGGATAAAGGACTTTATAAGTTTGATTTTCCAAAAAGTCCATGTTTTACCCCAAAATCAAAACAATTAAAAATAGAAGACAATTAAAACACCATTAAAGGTGTTTAATTGCAAATTGGAGTAATGGTCACACCACAGTTTTTGCTTAAACCTGATTTTTTTTTCATCAGAGCTTAAGATGCTAACATGATATTGTACATTGTCAGGTTATTAAGCATAATCAGTAAGATTGTGCATGTAATCGCTTTTACTGAGAAACCTGTAAACCTCCAATAATTGCTAAAGCTCACACTGTTATCAGTGTGACGAAAACAGCTTTACTGTCTGCTAACTGGAGAAATGCAGCAAAACACCATTCATCCTCTGCATGAAATATAAACACACTCTCTCTTTCCTCTCATCATTTTGATGTCCTGAAGAGATCATTTGTGTGCTGAGATGAGAGTTCAGAAATGACAAATGACAAAAGGGAAATTACGTAAAGTCGTTACTCTCCCTAAGCATGCAAACTCCTCCTGTCGTTTGTTATGGTCATTTCCTTAACTTGCAGTCATGTGTGATATTAATCACATACTATGTGTGTCCATGACTCCACAGCGGTTGGTGAGGATGAACATGCCCATAGCTGAAGACAGTACGGTTCACTTTACCTCCACTTTAATGGCTCTCATCCGGACCGCCCTGGAGATTAAACTGGCATCAGGTGAGTGTCACTGGCATTTGTCAAAAGCTCCTTTAACTCTCCATCGGCTCCAGCAGCGCTTTTCACCAGTCACTGCTCTGTTCCATCAGCCACATTAAACACTCCACCATCGTTAAAAGCATTTCAAGTTAATTGAATGATGCTTTCCTCAATGACTTTGACTTTTATTTAACCTTTTACTTGGTGCAAAATTATGATTAAAGAATAAGATAACATCCATTAACAGCTTGGCAAAAAAAATCTCACATGGCGATATTAACAATGGCAAGAATTACAGTAACATAGAAAGACTCTGTTAACATTATTGCTTCTTACAGACTTGCTTTCTTATTGCTTTTCTAGGAGTTCTGGCTCAGCGGCTATGTGATGCTGAATTAAGGAAGGAAATAAATAAAATTTGGAGTAACTTGTCTTCGAAAACAGTAGACCTGCTGGTGACACCTCATAAACGTATGCCCTGCTTTTAGAAACTCTTGCTAAAGTGGTGTTGATTTCTGTTTAGAAAGCAATTAACATTTATATGGAATCTTAATTAAATTCTAATGGGAGTTTGGGTTTTCATTTTGAAAGAGTATTAATGATATTTTCCACCTGAGTGATTCAGCCTGGTTTTGCTTGTGACTTCTGAGTTTTTGGTGCCACCAAGTGGACATCAGTTTTCTCCCTGCACTTCTGACCATTTGATGTCTCATGTGCATTTCACTCTCTCTTAGATAATGAACTGACTGTAGGGAAGGTCTATGCTGCTCTGATGATTTTCGACTACTATAAGCAGAACCGAGCCAAAAGACTCCAACAGCAGCAGGCTGCACCAGGCACACAGGTAGAGGGAACTTATATCTGCAGAATTATAATTAATAGTAGGAATATTTTGGTAGATATAGATTAAAGCCATATTTTATTATCAAACAGTTATTAATATTTGATGATATAGTCCTTCTGAGACTGTTGTGTTTGTTATGTTTTGTCCTCAGAGTAAAGTTGGTGTTCTCTTCAGACCAATGCTTCCTCTCACACACTTGCACAATCAGGAGCCACTAGTGCTGAAAGCCCCGCCCTCTTCTCAATCAGATACCGCACCACAGCCAGATGCCCCGCCCACATCCTTTCACCTGACCAATGGGGATGCAGTGTGAGTGTTATACCATTCTGGTCTTCTAAGTACTACACTTTCCATTTGAAAATGGGTTTTGTATTTTTTTTTCATTTTCTTTTTTTAATTGATCTTTTTTTAATTTTATGTATGTCACAGACAAAGCCAGAGCAGTGCCATGAAAAAGTCTCCATCGGGAGGTATCCCTCAGGAAGTCACACAGGAAGTGAACAGAAGGCCTGTCCAATGGGGCCAATCGGAAGATGTGCCAAACACATACAGATCTCAGGTGATTTGACAATCCGTGTATCATTCGATCATTCGTTTTTTGATTTAATATTGAAAGCAGAAAAATTAGAAAACTGATCCTTTTTCGTTTTTTTGTTTTTTTCCGAAAAGCGAGAATTCGGCTTAAATTTCCATTTTTCGTTCATGGGTGGAAAAATGAATAAACAGTTTGAATATTTGATTTCTACATGTGGGCGGGAATTAAACGCCCCTTTCTGCTGATTGGTCAGCCGAAGATCAAACCGTGCCGTCATCAGTTCTTCCACAGTATCACGCAGCAGAATAATAGTCCTCAGCTGCTGCAGTTGTACGGATTAATAAACCTAGAAGAACTGATGATGGCACTTTGAAAAAAAATGAAAAAACTAAAAAGGAGCCGTTTTCTAATTTTTCTACTTTCAATATTAAATTAAAAAAAACAAATGATCGAATGATACACGGATTTTTGACCTCTACTAGTGATTCATAAATAAGTCCTGTATAAGTTACATGTGTCAGACATTTACAGCCATTTACTGATCAGTTAAGCCCTAGTTTCTGTGGTCTTTATTAAAGCTACAAACTGTCAGATCCATCAGCAAAAAGAATTGCACTTAAAAGGATAGTTAATTTTTGGGTGTGGTGTACTTCACTTGTGGTGTACTTCAAAAAAAGCACTCTTAAGTTCAATTAACTGCTTTTAATATAAATTGAAACTTATTATTATTTTTCTTTTAATTCCAAATAACATGCAGTTTAGTGTGCAAAAACATTACATTCAGTTCGCACTTAGGTATATTGTTTCTTTAATAAGTACTCTTTTTATAAGTATGCTAAAGTATGCTTCTTCTTCACAATGGTTTAACTTTTGTGTTTATTTTGTCTGGCTCTATGTATGTTGCAGGAATTAGTTGAGATGACTGACATGGAGAATGACTCTGATGTGGGCGGGTATCCTGTGCTGGAGGGTCACGGCAGAGCTGCCTCCATGCCCAGACTCAATGCTGGCTTTCAGGTAAACATCTCCTATCCATCGTGGCCATATGAGTTAGTTCTGGTGGGAGTTGGAAATAACTACTGTACAGCCTTTGTTTCTTATTCTGATTAATTCCTGCAAAGAAAGAGGCAGCTGGGGGATGACTGTGCATAGATAGAGGAAAGAGGAGTGAATGGGCAGCTGTATGAGAGAATGGATGAATGGAGGTAATAGGGAAGATGTATTAATGAATGCAGAGAGGAGTTGAAGAATTCAAGCAAATTAACTGGAGGAAGTCAGGAGAGGTTAATTTACTGTATACACTAGTCTCCACTGAGAGACACATTTATTCCCTTCAGTTCAGCTGAATGCGTGTGTGTGTGTGTGTGTGTGTGTGTGTGTGTGTTTGAGAGAGAGAGAGAGAGAGAGAGTGAAAAAGAGAAGATGAGGGACAATGCAAAGTCTACATACAGTATATTCACACTATACAGAACTATATAGGAATGTTTTATTTTTATCTTTGTTGGAATTAAATATTTTAGTTTATTTTAAATTTATATCATATACACTGACATTAAATAGTGCAGAGACAACTTTCACTCAGAACTTGCTAGTGAATTTCACAATTAATTACAAGGAAACAGCATGAACATTGAATTAAAAATTTTTTAAGTTGAAAGACAGTAACCCCAGAAACAGTATTTTCTTGTAAAATGTACTCCAATAATCTGTTTTATTTACAACTTTGAAAAATCTTTATTCACAATGTACATTGTAATTCAGTGTTGTTTTAGTATTTTTATGTAGTATTATAATATTTATTCATATTTTGAATGAGCTTTTTTTCTTTTCATTTTAGTATAAATTATATTAGTATATTCATTTTATGTGTTTCTGTCATTTCAATTAGTTTGTGCTATTTAAAAATATCTGTTAATCTATATTTTTTCAGTTGTAGCTATTTTAGTAATTCAACTTTTTATTAATTTTTATATAGTTGCTAAGGCAACATTTCATTTATTTATTTTAATTTAAGTTTTCTAAAAATATTTTTTATATTTTATGATTTCTTAGCTTTTTTCAATTAACAAAAGCAATTTTTTATAGTCGTAGTTAACAGTAATAATACGAATGTAATTTTTTTTGTATGTTTCATATTGAGTTTTTCCTCATTAACTAATGTAATTATTTGATGTTACTTTTTAACTGTAAGTTTATTTGTGTACATACTTTGTTTCTTTTGATTTGGTATTTTTTGCCACATCGCTAATAGACTCGCACAGTATCCAGCATCCTTGTTATAATGTCTTGTCTTTAGTCTGGTCCTGTCTTATCTTGTCTTGTCTTGTTTGTCTCTTCTTTCTCTCCACCTGTCTTTATAACATCAAACTTACTGAACTCTTTTTCACCACCTTTTTTTTTCTCTCAGCACAAACAGTCCATAAACAGTCTCAAATTTTTTAGGCACCAGTTTTCTGACCATACTGGACCTTGATATACAGACTTTTCATGAACATCACTCGTTCTTTACTCTGTCCCTCTCTTTTGATTTCTTTCCTCCTGTCTCACTCTGTTACTGTGTCCATGAGTGCCACAACTGTGTGCCCTGCTCTCCTCACCTATGTGTCCTCTTCCTCTTCCCGTCCCAACAGCGGAGCCACTTACGCCACACCGCCGGAACGTATCTAGCAGTATGTACAAGTGTTCCACCTGAAATCACTCTCTCTTTCTCTCTTTTTCTCCCTCTATATCTCTCTGCCAGCCACTCCATTTCTATGTTGGATTGTGTGTGCTTTATCCATTCCAGCTCTTTTAGAGTTTACACTCTTTTAACAGACCAATAAACTTATACAGCCACAATTCATATTAGCCAGCTAAACACAAAACTAACATGCACTACAAAAGCCATTTTTAGTAGTTCATCACTGTGGGTAACTATTTTACAAGTAATGGAACAGATTAACCACAGTTTAGTTATAGCAATACGAAAAGCAAAGATTAAAATGTAATGCTTATTTTATCTTGGATGTTGTGTGGTGCTAACTGTAAGTATGAGTGTGTTTCATTTAGTGGGTTGTGCATCAATCTGATTAGTGCAGTCCTCTCTTCACATATCTTTCAGCCATATTTATGATTGAAATCACATACACTAATGTTTGTGTAAGATTTAAAAAAATGTTTTTTAGAAGAAGTCTCTTATACTCACCATGGCTGCATTTATTTGATCCTAAATACAGTATAACCAGCAATATTATGAATTAATATTGCAATCTAAAATAATTTGTGCAATTAGTCACTTCAAATGAAACTTTTCAGGCTGTTTAAACTATGAGAAGAGGGGACGCACTGCTTCTTAGAGGTTCTGAACGCTTATGCCACTGGGCGGCACTAATGAGTCTTGGTAGAAGACTTACAAAGGTAGAAATTGCAGTCATCACCAAGGAGTGGTCACAGATTCTCTAAAGAATCTAGTCTAAAGTGACTTTTAGGACCATTTAAGATTTAATGAATATCTTTTTGAGACTGTAAATGCACATGTATACAGACTATAGATTATCTAGAGATTAACAGCAAAGGTTAAGCAAGAAAAGCACCAGTGACTCTTTATAGATCAGTGACCGCTGCTTGGCTGTGGATAGTTCATGCAGCAACTATTCCAGCCGTCCAGTCTGTGTGTAAGAGACGATTCGATGACAGCATTCAGACAGCAGAGTGTTTGCATCGAGCGTGACGGTGTTCCACTGTTCTCTGATGCGTGCGTGTGTCCGCAGGAGCGGGCTGAACAACGCTCTTCAGTGGAACTGTGTTTTCATGCTCAGCTGGTGTTGTGCGTCTGTTGTGGCAGGTCTAGTCATTCTAGTACTTTGCTAGATATGTGTTCTCTCCTACATGTCTTCATCTTTCACACGTTAACACGTTTTATTTCCAACACAGCCTATCGCAGACGTGAGTCCCATGCGGCGGTCTATGTCCTCGTTGACACCACAGAGAGGGGTGCGAGAGGTTAATCTGAGCGATTATGACCTGGAGAGGCCCAAGATGGCCCCGGGCCAGACCCTCGCTCAGGAGAGAGAGAGGGAGCGAGCCCATCATCATCATCACCATCATCATCACCGCTGCCAGCGGCGCAAAGACAAGAAGCACAAATCGTTGGATCGAGCCATCAGCGAGGAGCAGCCACCGCCTGCAGGTGGGCTTGATTTTCTTTCTCACTCATTCGTTTACGCTGTTCAGCACATTCATGTGAAAGAAAAAAGTGAATTTCATAGAGCACAAGAATATCATAGAGACGTGAGGTGGCCTCGTTTGATTTGGGCTGGTAAACAACCACCTAGAAGAGTGGATCTCAAATCGAAGGCCCCCCTTTACCTGTTCAACACAATATTCAATGGTCTCCTATATAATATATTAGAAGAACTGTAACAATATATATGTAATATATAATATATTTATATATTGTATATATAATATATATTCATATAATATATACAGTATATTTAAAATATTGTTAACAAAAACTGTAAATGGGAGATTTATAAGTTTCAATAACTGTATGTTCTTCAATAAAAAATAAATAAGATGTCAGCTTAAATCTTGTTTTTTAGCATTTTAATTCAGTTTTAATATAAAAAAAAAAAACACAGCAATATTATTTCATTATATATTAAACTATATATATATATATATATATATATATATATACATGTATTGTTTAATAAATAATGAATATATATATATATATATATATATACTGTATATACACACACACATACATATATGCAATATTGTATTATATTATATAAAATGTGACATTTGCCATATATAGGTCTGTACAATCTATAAGGATTATGAAGAAAAATGGAGTACTAGTTAAAAAAATCCCAGCTTCTTATGTTTAGCACATGTTCTTCAATAAAAAAATAAGATGTCAGTTTAAATCTTGTTTTTTAGCATTTTAATTAAGTTAGATTGCTTTAATATAATAATAAGAAACACAGCAATATTATTATTTCATTATTTATTAAACTATATATATATATACATGTATTGTTTAATAAATAATTCGCAGACGTGAGTCCCATGCGGCGGTCTATGTCCTCGTTGACACCACAGAGAGGGGTGCGAGAGGTTAATCTGAGCGATTATGACCTGGAGAGGCCCAAGATGGCCCCGGGCCAGACCCTCGCTCAGGAGAGAGAGAGGGAGCGAGCCCATCATCATCATCACCATCATCATCACCGCTGCCAGCGGCGCAAAGACAAGAAGCACAAATCGTTGGATCGAGCCATCAGCGAGGAGCAGCCACCGCCTGCAGGTGGGCTTGATTTTCTTTCTCACTCATTCGTTTACGCTGTTCAGCACATTCATGTGAAAGAAAAAAGTGAATTTCATAGAGCACAAGAATATCATAGAGACGTGAGGTGGCCTCGTTTGATTTGGGCTGGTAAACAACCACCTAGAAGAGTGGATCTCAAATCGAAGGCCCCCCTTTACCTGTTCAACACAATATTCAATGGTCTCCTATATAATATATTAGAAGAACTGTAACAATATATATGTAATATATAATATATTTATATATTGTATATATAATATATATTCATATAATATATACAGTATATTTAAAATATTGTTAACAAAAACTGTAAATGGGAGATTTAAAAGTTTCAATAACTGTATGTTCTTCAATAAAAAATAAATAAGATGTCAGCTTAAATCTTGTTTTTTAGCATTTTAATTCAGTTTTAATATAATAATAAGAAACACAGCAATATTATTTCATTATTTATTAAACTATATATATATATATATATATATATATATATACATGTATTGTTTAATAAATAATGAATATATATATATATATACTGTATATACACACACACACACACATACATATATGCAATATTGTATTATATTATATAAAATGTGACATTTGCCATATATTGGTCTGTACAATCTATAAGGATTATGAAGAAAAATGGAGTACTAGTTGAAAATCCCAGCTTCTTATGCTTAGCACAGTGATGGAAATTCTTTTAAGGATTATAGTGATCAGGTTATCAAGGAAAATACTCTTTATTGCTCTCCAAGTTGCTTTGGTGTAGGATTTACTTGGTCAATCTCTGTCTTTGACTGAAAGTGGGACTTACAAACCATTGCTAGAAAATGCACTTTGGAACGGATTGATTTTTTTTATTTTTGTTTCTTGGCCAGTTTGTGGCGTGACTGGGAAAAGTCAGCAGTCGGAGAAGCAGTCATGAGCTTGTGGTTGCACATGAGATCTCAGGATTCTTTACTACAAGATTCCTGCTCTTCTCATTCTGTTCTTAGAAACACTGGAACATAAACATGTTTCTCAGCCAGAGTCTGACTCTTCTAGTAATAGATCAGTCAGCTTTGACTGAGTTGAAACGGGGCAATACATCAATCCTCTGAAAGCTCATTTTAGTTTGGTGTGTTTGTGCTCAGATTTCAAACACATACAGACAACCACATACATCTTCCTCTACATGTTTTTGTTTCTCTGTAGTCAAAGATCACAACAGCACCAAACAGCAGGGCTCACCCATGCACACACACAAATCACCAGCCCTTTTGTGATGATATATAAGTGCCCTCTGGTGTTTTGAGTTCACAGTGGTTTCAAACTGGTGTTGGGCAGCAGTGTCTGGTGTTTACAGCCCAGTTAAAAGGCGCCGGTGCATGGGTACGCTCATTTATTGACAAACTTGGGGGAGAATATAAGCAGAGAAAATGAGAAATGAATAATTAATTATTTAATTTGAAATTACACATTTTTGAGCAAATAAACAACCCAGAAATTCAGCTTTTTCATGACATGGATAAATTAGATTTTAGAAAACAAATATTTTAAATTGTAACAATATTTTATTATATTACAGTGTTATTGTATAATATTGTATAATATATGCAGCCTTGGTGAGCATACAAGACTATTAAAAAATGTTTTAAATATATTTTTTAAAAATGTAACTTTTGAACAGTAGTGTATATAGGTCATATGATGTGGCTAAAAATAACATTATTTTGTGTATTTGGTGTAATTAAATGAGTTTATGCGGTTTAAGGTAAAAAAAAATCACATCATATGACCCCTTTAATAACATTTTTATATTTAAAGTGCCGTTTGTAATTTTTGAACCACTTGAATCACAAAACAGAACCTAAAAAATAACGATTGATTTTGAAGTACCTCTCTCCGTCTTCCATTGGTTGGACAAACAGATCCCACCCATCTGTTTCATTGTCAGGACCACTTTAACTTTGTCACGCCACTGTTGCTATGTTGGGCTGGTCGCAGCACTCAAACAAGAAATGGTCTGAAAGAGCCACAGAACATCATATTTTTAAAAAATAATAATAAAAATGCATGGTTCAGCTTTGACTAGGACATAGCTGATTAATATATGTGATGAATTTTATGTATAACAGCAGATCCAAACACTGAGTCACCGCCTAGGGAACGATCACGGGAGCGAGACCGTGGCCGCTCCCACGAGAGGAAGCACCATTCATCCTCAGCGGCGGAAAGGAAGCAGCGATACTACTCTTGTGATCGCTACGGCAGCCATGAACAAGGCCACAGTGTGTCCACCGGGCCCAGCAGATCCACATCGCCAGGAGAACCCCATGACCCAAACAGGCTTAAGCAGGTCAGGTGGTTTCACTCAGTCCCTCTTGCTTCCACACATGCTGTGTAGCAGTGACCTACTCTTTCTCTTCTCTCCATTGTGTTTCAGGGAATTAACACAGCTAAAGGAAGTTCAGTCATTCATACCTCAGGCACCAGCATACCCTGCCGCGGGCGTAGACAGCTCCCTCAGACGCCCCTTACGCCTCGGCCTGCTGTTGCCTACAAGACTGCCAACTCCTCTCCGGTCCAGCTCAACACTGCCCAGTCTACAGGGCCCTGCCCCACTCGCCTTAGTCGTGGCCTGTCAGAGCACGATGCCCTACTCAGCGGTTGCACCCACCGCCAATCTCCCGTGCCTGTCACTCGTATCGGCTCTGACCCCAACTTGGGTCCCCTCCAGCAAGACTCAAACTTGTCTGAAGCGGACGACTTCCACGATGCCTTGAGCACGTACGGCATGGGCCGCTGCCCCAGGACTGCAGCCTCCATCGCCCACACATCATCAGGTGCGGCCCCCACTTCCACACTGCTCTCGCGCAGCCAGAGCGGAGTCCCCAACGGGTATCACTACTCCCTCGGAGTGAACGCGGCGCCTGGTTCAAGCGGCAGAGCATCTGGAAGCTATCAGGAAACTGAGAGAAATGACTGGTGTTAGCATGATTCAATCTAGCATGAGTTTTAACGTCTTTGCCCCGGGGGAGGAGGAAGCCGTGTTTTGGAGGGAAACAAGAGTTACGTCCGCAGTTTACACTATTTACAACTGTTTACCATCAGCTTGAGCCTATATGGTTTTATAAAGATGTTCTTCTCCTGTTTAGAAAGTATCAGACATCCTTGTGACTTGTTTACGAAAGTTGTGGCAAGATGGAAAGCGCTTGGAGGTCTTGATAGTTTTCAAACTGAATAGTTTAGCCTCAAGCGACACTCCCCACCACGTTTAATTTCATTAGGGCTGATTCCACAAGGGTCACATGCAAGGAGATGATCCAATCTCCTGTGCCTGTGATCAAGACCTCAGACCTCAGAGAGGAAGAAGCCCAAAAACACAGGCTATGGTGAAAACAGTTGTGTGGAAAAAGTGAGACATTTAGTTGTTGAGATTTGAGAGGTTCTTTAGACTCTTTGCACAGGACACAATGACTGAAAAGTTATTTCTAGGGATTTTGGCAGTGTGTCCACCAAAAAAATTTTTTTGTTGTTGTTCCTAAAGCCAGTGTATATTTGTAATTGTTTGCAATTGGAGCACCACATACTAGTGTGACGTGGTCGCAAGCGTCTGTTCCATGCTGAGCATTTCACTGCTGTTTTTTGTGGTTGTTGAGAGTTGAACAGTGTTCATCTTTGGGTAAAATGTCACACTCGTCACTGCCACTTTTTACCTAACCGTCCATTTGCATTGGAGGAGGGGTGGGACAAATACCACACTGATCAACCATCACATTCTACTTGTACAATGATTGAATAACCATCGTCTGACACCTTCAGATTGCAACATTAATGTGAAAAAAAATAATGCTTGAAGGAACATTTAGTTCGTCATGGGTCTACCAGGGAAACAGCTAAACGCTGTCCTCCAAAGCGGCTGGCATATTTGTTGGCTAAAAACACTTTGGTGGACACACAACCTAAAGGTTTGCGCTGCTGAAATTCTACTTCTTTCTCTAGCATGAGTGGAATAGTTGGTCTGCTCCCACCTACTGAAAAAAGGCCAAATTGAACGCACTTTTCTACCAGACTGCAGTAGATTGAATATCTTTTCACAGTGTTCCATTTTGTACGTTGTAAATGATCTGAGTGTAGCTGGACATTATGTAAGGTCTAATCATTTTCTTACTCTCTAGAGGTAAGATACCAAGTGCCTAAACTTTGAGATTTTATCGCCACATTGGTGCGTGATGCATTATGAAGCATTTGGTGTAAGAGAGGCAATGAAGACTGAAAGGTTGTATTTGTTGGTTGCTGTTGATGTCAGTGTTGTTTCCAGAGGGCATATTATGAGCTCAGACCTTTCTCTTTCAGTAATTGATTAAAAGAGGAAGAAGTTGAGACAGATTGAAGCACTTAGTCAACTTTCTCTTGTATCTGTTATTCACCACACAAAATGATTCAGAGCTACCAATGTGAAATAAAGAATATGTTGTTTTCTCTCAATTAGTGAGATACTGTAATGTTTTGGATGATAGTTAACAAATCAAGGTTAATTTATTCAGAATATGTATTTTACTCTGTTTCTGCCCATGTTTTTAGTTTGTCGATAGTATCTTTTCTATCTGAAGGGTTTATTACATGTTGGTATTTTTAGGGTGAGCGCAACAGTGGCTGTCTGCTTTTTCAGCAGCCTTGGTTAAGGAAGTATTTTATTTTCATTGTCTTCATGGGAATTTCAAGCAAAAATGTAATTGAAGCAAAACAGTATACGAAAATTTGGGGGAACTAACTTTCTGATTTACAGTGTAAAGCTACTGGGAGAAAATAAATAAATAAATGGAACATCTTATGCGATTTTCATGATTGGAAAATCTCTTTACAGGATTATGAGTGGTACAGTTGTTCTTTACAGGAATTTTTGCTTAAGAATCTCAACACTTATAATGAGTAATTCCAAAGTTACATAGGACTTCTCTATGGAGAAAATGAATGGAATTTTTACCTGTGGAACCTGACTGTTGTGCTCTTAAATATCTAAGTGCAGGGAAATGTTGACTGCTGAAGTACAGTAGGGCTATGCAACAAAATGACATTTTAGAACTGCTCCTCATCCTGTAGCTTTACCTGCACTCAACCCAATCTAGCTTTAGCACCAATGGGACCAATTCACCACTTCACAGAGATCTTTATATATATATACAGGATGTGTAGCTCACCTAAAAATGCCAGATTTTAATGCAGATGCATTGACGATTGTGCTTGATATTGATGTGCCCTCTGAAAGTACAACAATTAATATAGTGGTATTTGTACTGGTTGCACACTGGGGAATTGATGTTGTGTTACGCAACTTGTCGCTAAAAGGATGGTTAATGTAAAGACTTGATTTCTTAATTTTTTTACAGTATGTGATGTCCTAGTGAACTGCCTATGGCCACCATTTCCGTTTTGGGATGGAGATGAGTGTTGTGAACCCAATAGATCTTCGACTTCCCTTTATTTAGACATCACCTTTCCTCTTTAAAAATAAGGAAAAACCGAAAAAAAGAAATACAAATAAATAAATATATATAAATGCCAGGTGCCAAATTTATTACAGCACTAGTTTGTCTCTGTGTGCTGTATACTTTGTCCAACTGACCTGTGGCTAATCTATTTGGATGATGTCATGTTTGCATGTTATGATGGCATATGTGCATGTAGGAAATTGTACACCTTCATCCATGTTTTTCTATGAGGAGTAAATTAATTGGCTGTTGATGTTTTTTTTTTTAAAGAAACAATCTTTGATACACTTACTTAGCCCTGGGTTTCTGGGAGAAAATTAGAAGACACTTCTCTTCTCAGTTTGTTGTAAAAGAGTTGTTGAAATCAATAGAGTGATGCATGCACAGAGAAAACTGCCTCACTCCTGTGATCTGATGATCGTTCTATAATGCCATATATTTCAGCCCATCGACTCTTGACAGTCTTATCATTTCTACCATTTGCATTTTGTATGAAAAAGCATCACTGAACTGAGAGATATATGGAAATAAAGCTTGGAAAATCTTTTATATACAGTTTAAGTTTTAATTTGGTAATGAAATGTTTGTGTCATGGACAAAGCTGAACCTATGAAATGCAAATGTCTAAATAGTTTTGCTCCCACAGAAAGAAAAAAAAACGTTTTAAATAATTAAAAAATGAACGGTCTACATTTTTAAATGACTATTATTAAAAAAATATAATAAAATATTAAAAACAATTATTAAATATTAATACAATTATTTCGTTTTTTACATTTACCTGTACATAGCAGACACGTTTATCTAGTCACTTATGAATGATCACAGGTAATTTAATAATTCATAAAACACAATGCTAAATTTTAACTAGATTTGTACACAAACTAAAGCGCAAGTACAACGCAGAAAATGTTTGCACTAAAACATTTAACACACACACATACTGTAAATGTATGAATATATATTACAATATATGCTATTTATATAATGATTAGGGACGTATTCCTGTGTTTAATTTTTATTTTATGTTTAATTGACTATATTTAATTTTTAATCTCATTATTTATTTCATAATTAGTACTTTGATCCAGCACAGTCCTCCTCAGCTATTCTCATGCACTGATATGTTAATGAGCCTTGAGATACTGCTTCTCATTGGCCTGTGGCGAGGGTGTGGGCGGAGCCCCTCGAGCAAATACTGTACAGATGAAGGTGTCTAGTGGCAAGCGCGCGGTGTTCGCAAGGTGAGCAGAGTACGCCAAACATCAACGGTAGACACGCGCCACTCCATTATTATTGTCCTCAGACCATTCTCATTACCACCTAAATTATTAAAATGCGATGAACAATCACAGTTTTTCTTGCGGCTTTATAAATTAGGCAAATATGATGCTTTCGCCAGTACTGTGGACAGCTGTTTTATTTACTTTCGTAAAAGCCAGCATCATGCACAGCGGTGCAACTGAATCACCAGATGTGGAGAGCGGCTCGGGGATGCTGCTGGCAGGTAAGACATCAACATGTAATTATTATATTTAATTTGTACCCAGTGGAGTATAATGTTTGTTTGTTTACATTTCTTGAGAATAGCGCATTACAAGGTGTCTGACTGGCCATTATTGTCGCAAATTTGCATGATTAAATAACTGTTTATAAATAGTAATTTCATTAATAAATTTCACTTTTATGATGTGAGCTGAAAATAAGTGATGGAAATATACACTTTCTCTCATACTAAATATGAACCTGTCTTGAAGTTGGAAGTTCATTTATATAAATGTTGTTTTATCCATATGTTTGATGTTCAGTGTTTCCCTCTGGGAGCCGCTGTGGTCTCAAGTTTTACTGTATAAAAGAGCAGGTGCAGGTACTTCAGCAATGAACTATTTTGACACCCCGCCTATTTAAATCACACTACTGCTGTTTTTCTAAACATGAGGGCTGAACTAGTATGAACACTGGACAGTGATTGCTGCAAGAAGCACCTCAGCCGTCCTTGCTGTTTTGTCCAAACACATGTTTAACAGATTTGTGGCAGATGTGAGGGCAATTAGTTCCAGCCATCTTGGGAGAAGGTAGAGGATGTCATCATCTCCACAAACAAATGTATATTGGCCTGAATTCATTTCTAAATTCTGTAAAATTGCCAAAAGGGTCATTTGCGTGCATAGTGCACAAACAGATCGATTTGACAAATCATGCTTATGTTTAATCTGATGTTCTTTGACTTCTGCAATTAAATTGTGTTTATGCTTGATTTGTACAATGGGAGCATGTTTAATCAAAACTGGCAAACTTGCAATGTCCCCCAGGGCTTTGTCAGCAAGCGTTGCAAAATCTGTAATCAGTCTATTGCTTTCTCTATAGCGACTAGAAGAAATAGCTTTGCTTTTTTTTTTTGCCATGCCCAGATTTTTATAGTATTGCCATTAAAGGATGCACGATATATTGATATCAGTTTGATGTTGAATATATGTAAAACAGTGCTGCATACAAATTTATGCATGTTATGAATTCCCCTTCACTTGTAGCATTTAAAACGATTGATTTCAGTTTAATTGATCTGGGGTTTTTTTTTTTTTTTAGATAAAATGGTATAGAATTTTTATTTATTTATTTATTTATTTATTTGTTTGTTTGTTATTTTAATTATAGTATACATTTGTATTTTTTTTTTTAAATAAATACATTTAGTCATTTAATTGTAATTCTAATTAATAGAATTTTAATATTGGTTACCGGCTGAAACAAATTAATTATCGGCTAATTGGTATTGACCAGAAAATGAATTTGTGACCATTTCGAAATAATAATAAAAATTATATATATATATATATATATATATATAATTTAGACTGCAAAACAACTCTGTATAAATGTAATTACATAAATACATATACGTGTTAAGAAAAAAACAAACAAGTATATTAATAATAAATATTCATAATGTGTAAGTATTTCTTGTTAGCAGTAGTATGATCATTCAGCTTTTAGTGTGGCAGAACTAAAACATTTTTAAAAGTGTTCATTGTATTGGTGTTTGATGTATGATAAATAAACTGTATCCGTAGCGGTCATTAACAAGCAATTTCAGGTTGATCTCTAAATCATGAAAACTACCCGAGTTCCTTTATAGTTTCTTTAAAAGTGTATAGAGCTTGTAAGAGACTCATGTGGGAATTTCGGTTGTATATAGCTCTAAACAATCTTAACATACCACAAGGACCGTGTTAGGTACCAAATGCCTGTTTGCTCATGTTTCATCCATCTTGTAAATCCAAGAACCAAGACGCACCCTCCTTGAGCTCATTAAGAGACTTTATTAGTTTTTAGCTCATTCTTCTTTTCAGTTGTTTTAATCAACCTTCTGTGATCTCAACAAACCTACAGAAAGGTAGGCTTGGATTTATGGGCTCAAATTTTACAGTCAGACTGACAGATGAACTGGTTTATTAAATCCAGACCGTAGCTGAAAAGTGAATGTAATTGCTGAGAGTCGGTGTGCTACAGCGTGCCATGAAAAGCCCATTTAAACTCAACAGGTTCAGACCGAAAGACCCGTAGTTATGTCATGCACAAGCAATGCTTCTCCAGGTAGTGTAGCTTTATGACCAGCACTTGTCTTTGTGAGGTGGACGCCAGGTTATTTAAAAATTTATAGCTGTTATGCCAGCGCAATAAAACCGGTCATGCTCGTGCAGATTCTGTTGTTTTAGCAAAATCAAAACACACTGGGAAATGTGGTGAAAATATGATCACCAATGATTCTGACATGCCGCCCACCATGGTTGTGTGTTTGCTTGGTGATGTGATGTTATACTTTTGAAAGTGTATCTTCTCTTGTGTTGGTCTTCTCTTCTGTTTTTACTGTACTTGAGTTGCTTTGGATCTTTTGACAGACTTGATGAATTGCTTTATTTTGTTTGGTGGCCTTTTTTTAAAACCAGATTCATTTGTTAGAGTGGGATGCATGCAGGTTTCTTTGAACTCACAGTTTTGTCAAGCCTAAAATCTAAAACAAAATGTATTAAAAACTCTTGTTTTTTAGAGCACACAATTATCACTGGTAATATCCCATCTGTAAAACCCATTAGGCTTTGACATCATACAGATCGCAATGTTTTTATGAAAAATTTGACTTTCCTTTTTTAATATTATTTTTTTTATATATTAGCCCTGTAGGAGATCATAATTGGCTATTGCTCTTGTTTTCCATAGAACGCAAGATTATACTGGATAACAAAAACCAAACATTTATATTTTCCATTGTATTTATTATTAAATGCCTTTGAATTCAGGATTGTTGTGACTGAGGATAAAGGAAAATAAGACCATATAGTTTCTATATCAATAACATAAGTCTTGGAGTCTTGGATGAAGGATTGTGCTTATTTAGTAACCATAATTTAAGCCAAGCCTCAGATTAACAGACATCTTTTAAAACATAATTAAGTGCATTTTTCTGATATCACATTTTAGCCCTGTAGGAGATCATAATTGGCTATTGCTCTTGTTTTCCATAGAACGCAAGATTATACTGGATAACAAAAACCAAACATTTATATTTTCCATTGTATTTATTATTAAATGCCTTTGAATTCAGGATTGTTGTGACTGAGGATAAAGGAAAATAAGACCATATAGTTTCTAAATCAATAACATAAGTCTTGGAGTCTTGGATGAAGGATTGTGCTTATTTAGTAACCATAATTTAAGCCAAGCCTCAGATTAACAGACATCTTTTAAAACATAATTAAGTGCATTTTTCTGATATCACATTAAAAAAAACTAAATTCTTGTCTCTATCCTTCTATGGGATACTGTATGTTTTGCACCTTGTGACCATGTGATTGAATTCAGTGATGTCATAAAGGGATAGTTCACCCAAAATGGAAATACTGTACTGTCCTCATTCGCTCAACCTCATTCCATTCTGAACTTGTATGACTTATTTAATTCTGTGGAACACAAAAGAAGATATTTAAAAAAAAATAGTTTTTGTCCAAATAATGAAAATCAGTTGGGTCGAATAGAATTAAGGCCCGTTCACACTAAGCACGATAACTATAAAGATAACGATAAAGATATAGTTCTAAAAATTGTTCTCAATATTAAAGAATAGCATAGTTCACACCACAACTATAACGATACAGAGGAACGATATCGTTGTGGTCACTTTCAAAACGATTATTTTCCAGCTGGTGAACGATAAAACACTGACAGCCAATCAGAATCCATCCTGCTGTAATGAGCTCAAGAATTTAAAGCGACAGACGCAAGTGCACTTAGAATAAACAGACGATATCGTTCACTGGTGTGGACGCTAATATCATTATCTTTATAGTTGTCACGAATCCGGTCCATGAACTTTCCTTTTCATTGACTCTCGCACCACACAAACTGTTGCATAGCACCCCGGACTACATTTCCCATCATGCATTGCACTGATTGCACTCAGCACGAATTGCACACACCTGTTTACACTGATTGCACCCAGCTGTTTCATATCACTCCCTCACTATTTAACACTCACTCTGATCCCTTCCCTCTGCCGAGTATTGTTTCAGCATTTATCACTCCCCTAGAGATAGCTACTTTACGGAGCCCTTGTCATTTCCTTAGCCCTTGTCATTTCGCCTTAGCTATAGCCATAGCCATAGCCTTAGCCATAGCCTTAGCCTTAGCCTTAGCCTTAGCCCTTGTCATTTCTCCTTAGCCTTAGCCCTAGTCATTTGCCTTAGCCTTAGCCTTAGCCTTCTCGGTTTCTGATCTTCGCCTGGTTCCCTGGATTCACCCCTTTTGTCTTGCCCCTTTTGATTCTGTCTGCCGATCGTCGACCTGCTCTAGCCCTAGGACTATTCTTGTGTTTTGCCCACCATATACCTGTTTGCCCTCATCTGACCCAGGCCTGTTTCATGACCACGTCTCTGTCTTCGTTTCAATAAAGCTTGCATATGGATCCGCACGTCTCACGTCTCGTCAGCCCCGTAACAATAGTTATCATTCTTGGTGTGAACGGGGCTTTAGTCCGGTGTTATTTTGGACCCCATTGACTTTCATTACATGGACAAAAATAGTTGAAACATTCCTCAAAATATCTTCTTTTGGGGTCTACAGAACAATTTTTAGGAGAGCTGTCGCTTTAACATTTTGTCACACCTGGATTTTAAGTTAATATTAATATTAGGTTAATATTAGCTTGTTTGAGGCCACATCTGGCCACACTAAACCCTCAGATTACACATATTGGTTTCTTAAAAAGCCAATGATAACCGTGCTCTCTGGTTGAACAGTGCCAATGACATTGTTGGTTTGATTTGATTGTGTTTAACATAAACCTGCCAGGTTTTGTCCTTGTCATCTTCATGGGGTTTGATTGGAGGTTGGCATGGTTTACTTCTGAGGCCCCTTTATGCCTCCAGCCCAGTGAGATTTGTGATTTATTACCACTTACGTTACACTCAATCACTGTTGTAATGTAATCTGCAATGTCAATGTCAGGCAGAT